TCTGTGATTCATCAGTCTTACACAATTCACAGCGCTCACCATAGCACACACCGTCCCCAGTGTCTATCACCCAGCCACCCCATCCCTCCGCACTTATATTTTAAAAATTTATGTTGGTATAAAATATGTGCATTGAGTTTTACATCAAGTTTACACAACTTTGCTATTTTAGATGAATAATTGCTTAGTTAAATTCTTCTAAATATGTGTACATACACAATTTCTTACATGAGTATTATTACCAGTCATTAGAAATTAACAAAACATGTGAATGGCACTGACACTGTCTCCTCTCTTTGTCTCAACTAATCTTTCCTCATTTTCTTTGCTTTCTCTACTTCGGTATTTATTTCTGAGGTGTGAAACACATGGGTCAGGAACAGAGACAACTGCTATGAAGAAAATGAGGGAAGCAAACCCACAATGACAAGTAAAATTCTATTATAAAATAATGAAAAAAATAATAACATGAATATTTACTAAGCAAATACATTGAATTAACTAAAACAAACAAAACAAAAAAACACCCATAAAATATCTCCTGTCTCCAGTGGATGGACCGACTAGTGCTCATAATTCTCCATCTTGAAATGTTAAGCTCTCTTATTAAAAGCCAATTACATAAAGCCAATATATGTTATTTATAGGCGCTATTTCAGCAAAGCCACTACGAATGGCACGTGTGTTATAAATTTCAAAAGCAATCATTTTATGTTCCTCATAACAAGGAGGACAATTTAAAAACACATGGCATTGTGGCTGTTCTGTGTAGCAGAAGTCAAGTGGTGAAAAAAAACAGCCTTGGAGAAGGTACATAACAGCAATATAATTGATATTCAAGGGCAGTTTCTTTGGCTTGATTGATCTAAACAATTGTTTTACTTCCCACTCTTGAAAGGAAATCTAGAAACAGCAGAAAACATATTTAAAATTTTAAAAATAATATTGCTTCAAGGTCAAAAACGCATCAGTTTACATTGTTGATTGAAATCAAGGTATGCCTCTACTTGTGAAAGAAAAAAAATATGTAATCTCCCTTAAAATTAATGTGAAGTTTTAAGAAGGCACCAATTTGAAACTTGCCTGGTTATCATTACCGCTAATGATTTATTAAATGCACCTGCAAAATCAAAGCTGTGATCAGAAACCTAGGGATGTGTTTCCCAAAATATGGTACATCAACCATCTGATTCAAAAATACCTAGAGTATTCATTAAAATCCATATTTGAGGTCCAGATCTCAGACCTAAGGAAGCAAAATATCTGGGTGGATGAATCTGTCTTTTAACTCCCGATTGTCCCTAGGCACACTAAGGTTTAAGAATTTCTAACACAGAAATTAGTAGAGTAACCATCCCACCTCATTTCCTGCAGAGTCTACTGAAATTTATATGTGCCTAATATACTCACTTGCACTTGAAATTTTCAGGAGTTATGTCATGCTGGTGAGGATACTGGGAATCCCAACGCTGACATGGAATTCCATTCCAAATAGTATTGATGGTGCCCCGGTAACCTTCTCCTTGACCTTGAATGCATTCAGTTGTTTCCATAGGGACATCTGTGTCATTCATAGTACTGTGAGCTATTGGTAAAAAGAAATATTAAATTTAAGTAAAATCTTTTAATCTGTCATCTACCTCTTAGTTTTAATTTGCATATGTATTACTAGGGTTTTCTGTCACATAGGTTTTTATAAAAATTGAGTAGAATAAAAATTCAAGTTATCATTATTGCTATCTCACTCAATCTAAAAGAATGAGTTACCATGGTGGACTCAACTGTAGGATTTCTCTGATCATGAAACAGAATATTCTAGCTTGGTTTTATCTAGACTAGTTTGAGAGAGCATCATATAGTAGCACTTAAATTTCTTGGATTCATTCATTAATATTAGTTGTAAAATCTTTCTATTTATTAATTTTAAATATGTTTTTAATCAGTTTTCTTACTTTAGAAATTGAAAAACATCTATAAGTAATATAGTGACCACATAGGGAGAATAAAAAGCACTATGTTGGGGCACCTGGGTTGCTCAGTCACTTAAACATCTTCCTTTGGCTCAGGTCACCATCCCAGAGTCCTGGGATGGAGCCCCATGTCATGTCCCCTGCTCAGCGAGAAATCTCCTTCTCCCTCTGCCTCTCCCCCTGTTCGTGTTCTCTCTCTCTCTCTCAAATAAATAGATAAAATCTTTTAAAAAAATAAATAAATAAAAAATAATGCTATAAGTTTGGCCATAAAAAATAAGAAAAGGAAAAGTTGGTCTAGAGAACAGTTATTTTTTAAAATAAATTAATCATTATTATTATCTCCATTCCAGTTTTCTTTTCATTCAAACCCTAAAATAGTATATTTTGAATAATTCTTTAAAGGCATTTTACTTCCATGTGTCACTATAACTAATATATGCTGAATAGACAGTATTTCTTTTTCCTTTTTAAGATTTATTATTTATTTGAGAGAGAGAGAGTGTGCAGGGGGAGGGGCAGAGGGAAGAGCAGGCTCCCCCTGAGCAAGGAGCCTGATGTGGGACTCGATTCCAGGACCCTGGGATCATGACCTGAGCTGAAGGCAGATGCTTAACTGACTGAGCCACTGAGGCATCCCTAGACAGTTATACAATTAATCCTAATTAGTTTGTTTAAATACATATAAAAGTTGGTAATCATATTAACCATGGTTTTCCTCCAGTATGATAAATATATTCTAAGCTGGTATGTTATTTTTTTTAATCAATTTGTTAGTATTAAAAGAAATCAGTTGTTTTTAGGCAGATTTATTTCCTGTTTTTTTCCTAGTCCAAATACAATTCTTACCACATTTCATGCAGATCATAAAAATCTCCATAACAAAGTAAAAAAGTACAAACTTAAAATTTTACTACAACTTTGACTTTTGTCTTTTATGTTTATTTAAACAAAATGTAACTGAAAACTTACTACAGCAACTAAAATTCATAACACCTTCTCAAAACATACATGAAAATATTTATGGTTCAATAGAGTAAAGTCAATGTAAACTCCCCAGTTACCTTTACAATCTAAATGGTCATTAAAGATGTCCCTGGATAAAACTCAAGCTGACACACTCTAAGACAGTTTAGGATTTGAATAAATGCCTTTGATTCATCCATTCTGGAATTATATGTATCATTTCTCAAAAGAAGTCAGAACTAGACATGCCTTCAGAGGCTGGGGATGTCTATAAAAGTGTTCCATATTTAATAGTGTAAGTTCTTTTTAAATGGCTCCTCAATTTTATTTAAATTTATTTCTTTCTGGAGCACCTGGCTGGCTCAGTCAGTTAAGCATCCAGCTCTTGATTTTGGTTCAGGTCATGATCTTAGGGTCGTGGGATTGAGCCCCAAGTGGGACTCCATGTACAGTGGGGAGTGTGCTTGAGATTCTCTCTCTCCCTCTTCCCCTCCCTCCGCTCACACGCGCTCTGGATCTCTCTAAAATAGATAGATAAATCTTTAAAATGAATGAATGAATGAATAACAAATAATAAATACATAAATAAATTTCTTACAAATAATTACCCTTTATGGGGCGTAATGTTTTATTTCATTGAGTTCCATGCAAACTAAGGGGAACCTAAGTTTGGAGTTATTCTATGAAACTCAGTGAAAAAGAAGGAAGATTAATTAATGACCATGTCAACCCCTGGAATATGTTGTATAAACAGATTTCCATAAATTGCCCTTACAGTAAATTTTCTTCAGTTCCATTTAAAATATGTTTTTATTTCTTATGTATCTACTGCAGGGAATGAAAATTTGGCTCAGAAATACCTTAAATTAAAAGGAACTTCAAATGGAGATAAGCAAAATGTCCAGAGGTTGATCCACAAAGTGGTCATTGAGAGTTGATTTCTGAGTTAATATATACTGATATTGGTAACATATATCAATTCAGGAAGAACAAAATTTATTGGCCTGAAGAAATGACTTGTATAGAAAAAGTTAGTGCTAGTTAATCAAGTCCTTTATGATTTTAATATTAAAGTTCTTAGATGAGGGGCGCCTGGGTGGCTCAACTGGTTAAGCGTCTACCTTCGGTCATGATCCCAGGGTCCTGGGATCGATTCCCTCTCCCTTTACCCCTCCCCCTGCTCGTGCTCTCTCTCAAATAAATGGATAAATAAAATCTTTAGAAAAAATAAAATAAAGTTCTTAAATGAAATAGAAAGTAAGATGGATTTTATAGGTCCTCAGGAACAATATTTTATCAAAACAAATGCCACCAAGCTACTGTATTTCTGATGATTTGAGTTAACTGTTAAATGACTTGAGGATACTGGGTGTATGTGGAGGGGGGGGCATCTTTAAAGGGTGATAACTTTAAAACAGTTAAAATGTCAAGCTTGTACTGACATATTTCATATCTAATTACAAAACTATTATGTAAAAAAGACAAAAACAAGTGTCTCCAGGAACCTCTCAATTCATTACCTTAACATTTTAAGAAGAAAAGTTTTTTTGTTTTTTGTTTTTAGAGAAGCAGGCTCCCTGCTGAGAGCAGGAAGCCCAATGCGGGACTCCATCCCAGGACCCTGGGATCATGACCCAAGCCAAAGGCAGACACTTAACCGACTGAGCCACCCAGGCATCCCAGAAGAAAAGTTTTTATTTCCCCCGCTTCTTGGACACAAGTTCCTGGGAAGCAAACTGAGTTAGGATTTAGAACCCAGACAAGGGGAGGAAGGTCAGATTTAGGGGAGCCAGAGCAAAAGTACTTCAATTAATCTTCTTAGGGACTTCATTGTCTGTCGTGGGTACTTCTACTGTCTTACTTTCCTATGTATTTGTGTGTGTTTGGTTTTATTTGTTTATTACCGACCTATTTTTCTCAACTATTACTGTGACATTGTGAACATGTAATCTAAAAACCCAGTCTTGGTGAGTTTCAAGATCAATAAGGGCTATATACGGGTCCATCATATCTTACTGAGAACATAGCTAGAGGCTGAGCCCATGAGAGATTAACATCCTCTGCTCCTTGGACACTACAATGTCAATATAAGATTAAAAATCAGATATCATTTCTAGAATGTGTTATTAGACAAGAGTAATTGGATTTTCAAAGTAATTTTTTTCATAAATACCTTTATTAAAGCGACATAGTGTAGAAATAACCCATGACAATTAAAATTTGAAACACAGAGCCTTAAACTCAAAACAATTTAATTTCACTTTTTTTAATCAAAGGAGAGATCATTAAACAAATATTATCATAATTCATGAAGAAATCAATACCTGCAAAATTCAGTGAGTAACCACATGTTCATCAGAAAATTTTAAGAGGAATCATAAAATTTTAGGGCTAGTAGAAAATGAACATTTTCCTAATTTGAGGGAAAAGTTTTCAAATTTTAGGAGTATCTGTGAAAAGAAATACCTATATTATAAAACCCTAAGTAAAAAAAAAAAAAAGAAAAAACTTGAATAAAAATATTGAGGAAAATATTTCACTGTTGATTCATCCACTAAAATTCCAGTGTCAAGTTCAGAGACCTAATTGTTGGTACTAACTTTGCACCTAAACTGCAGAGGTCCCCAACAAGTTTTAATTAAAGATTTTTTCACTGCAATCATAAAATCCTCATTTGAACGATTTTGCTGAACACTTTTTTTCTTAACTTTCATCAGTATAATTAAAAATCTTTGATATAAATTTAAGGAATCACTAAATATTCACTTAAAGACAGTGTAAGTTAAAATGAGTAAATAAAAAACACAAGTTTGGATTTATTTTAAATAATTTGGATTATTTAACAGATTCTAATCTTTTGGTGGAAACTCAAACCTTTTGAAATTACAAAAATTACACAATACAAAGAACTAGTGCACATTAATAAAAATAGAGCATAGTACAGAATAAATATAACTTTTCATTAGATGTTGCTATAGACCAAATGCTTGTGTCTCCCCCAAATTCATATGTTGAAATCCTCTTATTAGACAAGAGTAATTGGATTACAGTGATGGTATTAGGATGTAGGGCTTTTGGTGGGTGATTAGATTATAAAGGCAAATCGTTCATGAATGGGATCAGTGCCTGTATAAAAAAGACACCACAGAGCTCCTTCACCCCTTCCACCATGTGAGGAATCTTCTGGCACCTTCATCTTTGACTTCCCAGCCCCCAGAACTGTCAGAAATAAATGCCTGTTGTTTAGAAGCCACCCAGTCTATGGTGTTCTGTTATAGCAGCCCAAGACAGGCCTCAACAAAATAAAAAAAAAAAATCTAATTAATAATATTCTTTTTTTAACTTTTATTTTAATAAGCATCCATAACTTTGAAATATATAACCTCAAACAACTTGATGGCTTTATTTATTCTTATGTTTTAATTCAGTGGAAATATTCCTTATGATTTTAACTATGAACTGGCAGTATTGAGATAATATTTTTCATTAACTAAAAAGTGCCCTCTGAAGCTAGCGTGTCTGTATTTATCCCATTTGACACTCAGCTTCTACAAGTGACCTCATAAACAAAAACTACATGATTTCTGGTGGCAATTATAGAGTAAAATGAAACTTCATGCATATTATTTGGACACATATTATCTGAGGA